TGGTAGCCCAGGCTGGCCTCGAACTCACAGAGATCCGCCTGGCTCTGCCTCCCGAGTGCTGGGATTAAAGGCGTGCGCCACCACATCTCACTCCAACATTTTTAAATCACGGTTTTATTCTGTGTGTGCACACGCACATGCCATGTGAGTGTGAGGTAGTCAGAGAACAATGGTGGAAGTCAATTCTCTCCTTCCAAACCATGGACTCTGGGGTTCCAGCTCAATCAGTCAGCATTTTACAGCAAGCGCCTTTACCTTTAACTCAGCCACCTGAAAAACAATATAAATATTTATTCAACTTTTTGGGTCTATGAAATCAAATCTCACACATCACCCCAATTAAGTTTCCAGAATTCCCTGCCTGCTTACCCCACCCGCCTTGCTCTCTTTTGTCCGTTTCTGTGGTCTAGGCTGGCCTCAAAAACCTCCCTAGTCCTGGGATTCCAGGCCCAGCCTCCACCTCCTGCTACTTTCTCGGTCTCCTCCTTCCTCCCTCCAGTCCTGCACTCTCTCAACACCTCACAGCCCCGGAATCCACATCCTGTTTCCCCTCCGGTCAGGGCGTAGCCCTCCCCCTCGGTCCCCTCCTCTCGGTCTCTCCCTGCAGCCTCCACCCTCTCCCTGCAGCTCATCTCTCTCCCTCCCCTCTACCCTCCCCACCGGGAAAAGCCCAGGGCAGCTGCCCAGTTAGTTGTCAGGGAAGAAGGGACGGCTATTGTGGTCTTCTTCTCACAGGCCTGGTGAACTCTGATACCCCACTGCAGCTGGAGGCTGGGGCCCAGGAGAGGTCCCCAGAGGTTCTGTCTGCAGAGGGTCCTTACGAGGACCACACTGTGGATATCTCTAGACGGTCCAAACTGTCCTTGAATTTGGAGCAGGAGATGGCCTTGAACTTCTTTTTTTTTTTCTAAATTTAAGTTGTTGTTGTTGTTGTTTTTTTAATTACTGTATGTTTATAGGTGTTTTGCCTTTATGTGTGTCTGTATACAACATGCAGGCCAGAAAGAGGCAACAGAACCTCCTGAGTTACAGATGTTGGGAGCCATCACCAGAGTGCTGGGAATAGAACCTGGGTCCTCTGGAAGAGCAGCCAGTGTTCTTCGCGGCTGAGCCATCTCTCCAGGCCCGACCTTGAACTTCTGATCCTCTTGCCCCCATTTCCCCAGTGCTGGACTCCAGGCATGAGCTGGTGTGGGGGCATACTGGCTGTCCTCTTTTACATTCTCTCACCAGCAACATGGAAACAGGCTGAACCATGGCCTCTTCACTTCAGAACTGTCGATTGTCAGGCCAATATCACAAAGCATCAGCCACCTGGTATGTGTCTAGCACATGGCAAATGCCAGGCATTCCTGGATTCTCAGAAAGCCTTCTGGAGATGACCTCTAGATCCCTGGGTAAGGGCTAGAGGTGCCAGAGGCTCTTCTCATTGACATCCCCCACCCCCACCCCCGACACACCCAATTTCCATCAGGCCTGAAGTGGCCTTCCCCAGAGCAGCAGGGTGGTACAGACAGGCCTTGGTCATGGCATGAGAAGGTCTCTACTCTGCTCTTGGCTTTGGTGCCGGCCCAACCAGCAGCTTTGTCAGGCTGCAGGTCCTGTCCACCCATGAGCCCCTTTAGACAGAGAAGGTGTGGTCTATCCTTTGCCTTTTTATGTATTTATGTGTATACTGCGGCAGGGTTAGGGGTATGGGTACGTGTGCACATGGAGGTCAGAGGATGAGGTAGTAGAATATTATTCTAAGGTGTGTTACTTTTGTTTATTTTGCATTTGTTTAACTCTGTGAAGCTGTGTTACTGTGCCTGTCTGAAACACATGATGGTCTAATAAAGAGCTGAATGTCCAATAGCGAAGCAGGAGAGAGAAATAGGCAGGGCTGGCAGACAGAGAGAATGTATAGAAGGAGAAATCTGGGAGAAGACAGGAGAATGAGGCAGCCAGAGAAGGAGGAGGACTCCAGGCGCCAGCCACCCAGCTACACAGCCAGCCACGGAGTAAGAGTAAGATTTACAGAAGTAAGAGAATGTGAAAAAGCCCAGAGGTGAAAGGTAGACTGGATAAGTTAAGTTAAGGAAAGCTGGCAAGAAACAAGCCAAATTAAGACCGGGCATTTATAATTAAGTATAAGCCTCTGTGTGTGACTTATTTGGAAGCTGGGTGGTGGTGGGGGGGGGCTAGAAGATACACAATCAAACAACAGGATGGTTTGTGAATATTTTCTCCTTCCACACGACTTCCTGGGGATAAACTCATTAGGCTTGGTGACAAGCACCTTTACCCACTGGGCTGTCTCGCCAGCCCCTCCCCCACACCATCCTCACAGAGCTGGGACCACATCTTGCTATTGCTGACCCAGTGATAGAGCATTCCAGGATGTCTATGGTATGTGTGAACCAAACGTGGTCACGAGACTTGAGCTTTTTTTTTTTTGGTTTTGGTTTTAAAATAAGGTCTCCTGAGCAGGTCGATCTCTGTGGGTTCAAGGCCAGCCTGGTTAACAGAGTGAGTTCCAGGACAGCCAGAGCTACACAGAGAAACCCTGTCTCGAAAAACAAAACAAAATAAAACAACAGAAAGAAAGAAAGAAAGAAAGAAAGAAAGAAAGAAAGAAAGAAAGAAAGAAAGAAAGAAAGAAAGAAAAAGAAAAGAAGAGAAAAGATAAAGGTCTCCTGTAGCTCGGGCCGGCCTGGACTCACACAGCTCAAGCTGCCTTGCATACCTGCTCTTCCTGCCTCGACCTCCTCTGTGCTGGGACTGCAGGCCTGTGCGGCCACACCCTCTGTAGTTCATTGCTGGACTGTACTGGAGAACAAAGGGCACATAGATGCTATGGAAATTGTTAAAGGACTCTTTATTAACTGAACACATTCACCCTGTGTCCCCAAGCCCTGGCACCACAAAGCAGACTGGAGGCTTCAGTGCCACCTGTCAATCATTCCCTCTTTAAGGCAGATGTGATCCTGACTGACAACACATTCATTTTCCTCCTCCTCCTCCTCCTCCTCCTCCTCCTCCTCCTCCTCCTCCTTCTCCTCCTTCTCCTTCTTCTTCTTTTCCCCAGGGTATTATTACTTTGTTGTTCTGGCTGGCCTGGATCTCACTCTGTAGACCAGGCTGGCCTCACACTCACAGATCCGCCTGGCCTGCCTCTGCCCTGCCCCTGCCTCCCCTGCCGCTGAGAAGAAAGGCTGTACTGTACTACAATCAGCCTCTGAACTTTTTTGTAAGCAAGGCAAGTGGGCTTCAGGTTTTACATGTAGTGGTCCACAAAGTATCCACATTGTACGCAAATTCCCAGAGCTTTCTCATCGGTAGAACAAGACACGTGGGAATGGCAAACCCCATTTTACAGAGGAGAAAACTGAGGCTCAGAGAGGAGAGAGAACCACCCACAGCCATGTACTGACAAGCGCAGAGCTGGGGTAACTGGGTAGGCTTTCACGTCTTTCTGGATTTATGATATCTCTCCAGGTGATACACTGAGACTCCCGGGAGGTCGCCTGAGGAGGAGCCAAAAAGCTTAACCCAGGCTGAAGCCATAGCAACAGCTGGTCGAGTGCTTGTCTAGCATGCATGCACCACCACATAGGCAGAGCAGGGCATGGTGGTGAGCACCTGTAATCGCTTGCACTCGGGAGGATCAGGAGTCCCAGGATACTTCCACTTCATGCTATACAAGGAGTTTGAGGCCAGCCTGGGCTGCAAGAAACCTGTCTTGTAGAAAACCAAAAAGGGGAGGAAATAGGTCGAGGCTGATGGTATGTATATGTTCTCTTAGGCCTGTCATCATGGAAGCCCACACACATGCAGCCCAGCCTGCACTCTTCCCTATTCATCCTACCTGCTGCTGTCAGTGGACATACCCTGTGACCCCCTCTCCGCACCTGGACCTCCAGAGCGAACATCCAGAGTGCTGCCATGTGGAAGGGGCTATGGAGCACTGTGTCTACCCCTCCAAGCTCCCGCAGACACACAGTCCAGGAGCAGACAATCCTCCTCCTTGCCTCCTTGTGGATGATAGGTGAGACTTCCCAGATCTTCCTCCCCTACTTCACCAGCTCTTAACTATCCTTCAGAAACCCACCTCAATTCTTCCAGGATGTCTTTGTCTCTCAATATATATATCACGTTCCTTATACATTGTTTCTTTTCTTGACACCATACAAATAGAGGTAACGACAAAAGTCACATAAGTGATGCACAGTGGGCACACCTGTAACCTCAAGCACTCTAGAGGCAGAGGCAGGATTGGGATTTTGGGGCCAGCCTGGGCTAGGTACTGTGAGTCTCATCTCTGCTTGGTTGTTTGCTTGTTTGTTGGTTGTTTTTGTTTTGTTTTTGAGACAGGGTTTCTCTATGTAGCCCTGCCTGTCCTGGAACTTGCTCTGTAGAGCAGGCTGGCCTTAACTCAGAGATCCATCTGCCTCTGCCTTCCAAGTGCTGGAATTAAAGGCGAGTATCACATGGCACAGCAGTTTGTTTGTCTTTTTTTTTTTTTTTTTTTTTTTTTTTTTTTTGTCTGTTTGTTTGTTTTTCAGATAATGTCTCAGTGATCAAACCTGGGTCCTCTGGAAGAGCAACCAGTGCTCTTAACCACTAAGCCATCTCTCCAAACACCTGCCCAGGTGTTTTTTTTTTTTGTTTTTT